ATATATACTCAATACATCGAAGAACACATTTACTATAAGATATATATATACTCCAAGTAGGATTACGAACGCGCCATATGAATTTCGTTCGACTTCCCATTGTATTTGAATATTTAAAAAATATATAATTACGACCGTGCTACATGCTTTTAATTCGACTTTTTATTGTATTATTATTCCACGTGCATCATTCAAAGCGAATGGCCTCCTCAATACAGTACAAATACAAACCATATATACATATACTGGGAAGGACGGAATGCAACGCCCACCGAAGATATTTGTGTGTCACACTTTGAGTTATCCAATCATACTCAAGTATCAAAATTGGTGACTCTGATTAGCTATAATTTAAATAATGAAAATCAATAAAAATGTTAATCGGAAATCCTTCAGGTACTCATAACCTATTCTAATCAGTTTCACTGTACTAGCTATTGAATGCTGCATTCGGTGATTCAAAATGTGTAATTTAATATCCTGTCGAAGTTGCATTTTCTATTTCATGTTTCTTGATTGGCTATAAATTAGGTCGAACTTCGTAGTTAATCAATAGGACAGCTGTATCTTGTATCAACTCGAAGTTAGGGTGGGCGTTGCATTCCGTCTTTCCCAGTATATATATACTCACAATGCGCTACCAGTGACCATCCTTCCGATATTTCCCCATCATGGTATCATATTACCTTCAAAACAATCTTATCCAAATAAACATATATATATATATATCAGATACAACCCGTCATTCGTATCATACTACATCATGGCGAGCCATGTTTCAACCAAAATACATTTCCACCATTGAAATCTCATTGTCAATCTATCTATATATATATATTGATAACGAGGTTCCACCGGTCCTTCATATCCAATTACTTCATACCCATGCTTGTAATAAATATATGTATATATATAGACTCCAAAGCCCATGAATCCCCTCCGGATATATCCAACATATGTGTTTGTACCTATTTCATGGTGCAATTGTGCGCATTCTCCCGCGAGCGACTGGTTTTCGATGGTCATATGATGCAAATCCTGGGTCAGGGCCACGTGTTCCCCTCTGCCCAGCTCCACATCTTCCTTCAACCTCGCACTCATCTTATCCGCTTTGTCCAGATTAGCTTGGAGCGTAGTGACCGTGGCTTCTTTATCGGCTAGGGCCGCCTCCAGTTGGCGCAAACTAGCTTGGCAACTGACCAACTCGTTGCGAACGGCCGATTGCTGCTCCGAAACGCGCGTCGATTGGGCGTCCAGCGCACTCATCTCTTCGGTTTTCACGTCCAACATGTGAATAAGCGCATCTTTATCCCGATCCGACGCCTCCAGCATGCTGCGCACCTGACTGAGCGACTGCTTGAGCTGGCCAATCGACGCTTCGAGTTGCTCGCGAACGCCTTCCAAGTGCCCATTCGATTCCCGAAGGTCGTTCATGTCCATCTTCAGTTGCTTGTGCTCGAGCGACCATTTGTCTCGACCGCACTCCATTTCCCCCACTAAATGCTTGAGCTGACCGTTGTCTTGCTCCAGTTGAACCACCCGACGTGATAGTTCCGACGTTTCGGTTTGCAGCCTGTCGATTCAACGAATATTAATATATATAAATTCAATATGGGGATAGATAAAGCATACTGACATAGGTTCTAGGTAGCGTAATATTGGGGGTTTCATCTCGTATTGTATGTATATAAAACCATCCTATGAATCATCGTTCCAACCACATTGGACATAGATAACTCGCACTTCAAAACTCTAAGAGTAGCAAATATATATATATAATTGCTGGAAACAAGATGTTCACCGAATTGGGAGCATGTATATATGTATATATATATTATATCCCACACTCAAGTCCTCTTCCAATTCATGTTCAAAATGAGTGTATAGGCATACAAACAGTACCAACCGAGTTTACATATAATATATATATATATATATGAACGAATCGTTGAATACTCCTTGACAACTCGTACGCCTCTTCTAACAGTAGTAGCATATATATATATAGAATCGCTAAAAACACGATGTTCACCAACTCTAATAGTAGCCTATATATATATACCGTTTGATGGTAGATTCCCGAGCCAATTGGTGGTCTTTGGCATGTCGAAGCTCTTCCTGGACCAGAGTCCACTGCATTTCCAGCGTCTTGCGGTGGCTCTGCGCTTGGCCGAGCAAATTTTCCACTTGGTGGCCTGTCGAAATCAATTAAAAAATATTATCCTCGACCAATATTCAAGTCATGATTTCAGTCGTATAATATAGCACATACAAGTTAATAGAGTTCATGCAAATATTAAAATATATATTCGTTCACCATAACCAACTATCAAACAATAGAAATATAGAGAAACTCAAAACCATCGTTCAATCGACACTCCAAGCGCTAGATATAATATATATATATATATGTTTACAGGTTGGGTGTTTTATTAATTCGATTCAAACATTATGGTAGGTTTTCATTGGTCAAGCGATTCAAGTCAAACTCGATCGACCAATCAAAACTCTCACCGCAAATTCTCAAGTGGTCAATCCTATTGTCAAGTCGATATATTCGAAATTACAGGTTGGGGCTGTTCAATCCAAGTAGCAGCACCAAATCGGCAGACAATCGATTGACCAATCAAAACCCATAACACTCATCAAGTAGCCAATCCAATCATCATCCACTGTTCGAACAATTCAACATCGAATTAGTGTGTGACTTCAATTAGTGTGACCCAGGACGACCGTTACATTCAACACAAATGTCCAAATTTTTGGGTAAAAAAAATATTATATTTCTTTCTTCTCCAACATCATCAATCGAATCCCTTGAAGAATTCGTCAAAATAGTTTCACCTGTACACATATATATATATATATATATATATATATATATAACAATAAGTCCATTCACACAATCAACCCTATCGTTTGACTTTACTACGAACGCATATATACATACATTTGGTCTGAGACGCCGTTAAAGCTGCCTGGAGGTCATGTATTTGGCGAGCCGACTCTCGTTGAGCCCCGTCGGCCGCATCTAGGTCATGCTGCGCCGTTTGAAATGTTTTGGACTGGTCTGTCCACGCCAACATCGCCGCTTCGTACTCGGTTTCAAAGTATAATTTGCTCTGCTTTGTACTCGCAAGTTCGCTCTGGACATTGGCTAATTCGGATTGCAATGATGAAACTTGCGCATTTACTTCTATAGCTCGATCGTCTGCACTGCGCAATTTCGTTTCTGCCTACACATTAGAATATATATAGGTTTCAATACCCCCCATCGTGCAATATCGTTTAAAAAAATACCAACATGGACAATAAAAAACTGATTTATATATATATATATTGGATCTCCATTAGTCATGTGCGTCTTTACTACTATTACTACTACTGTACTATCAAAACCCTATCCTTTCTATATAAAATATAACAAGCATTCGGGTATTGTAGATGTTTCGGTAGGATTTTTCCGGACTCTGCCCAATCGAATCCTTTCTCGCATTCTGAACCTCGCGCCGTGATCATTGATTGGTCGATCTGACATTACTTTTCGTTGATTGGCTAAAATATCTATATTCCATGGCTCTTTTTTTCGAGTATTTTATAGCCAATCAAATGTCACGGCGAGGTTGAGTGCAACATTATTCGATAGGGGCGTGGCACCGACTTGGAACATTTGAAAGGCAATTCACAATATAATCCACAAACATATTGAAAAATACAACCTGATTCACCGAATAATGGGTCCTATCGGTTGAGTACAGTAAAGCTAAAAAATATTTTAAAAATCATTCCCAACACTTATGTACCTGCGCCAACCGCTGCTCCAAGCCAGCCTTAGCGGCCACGGCGGCACTGAGCTGGGTTTCGACCAGTTGTTTGCTTAGCTCAGCCTCCGTCACTCGCTTCTGCCATTTGGACTCTTGGAGCTTTGCCGTCGCTTCTACAAGTACACACACAATATCCATTTGCTTGATATACTATCTCAATTTTAAAATATAATACTACACACATAAAGTAATAAATTAATCATACATTTTTTCTAACAAGGGTTATATAATATATATGAAAATTGTTGAAATCGAGTAAACCCGCAGGATTTTTGGCTCCATCAAAGCAAATATGGATTATTCGCTACAACGAATCATGCCCTCCTTTGAACATACCTCTTCAACATAGTGTAATATCACATTTCACAGGTTTTTCCGCCAATGTACACACACAATTGGGAGTAGCTAGCCCCAACCATACAACCAACACAAGACAACAAAAACTCACCCAATCATTGTTGATTTGATATACAAATTTGGGGGTGCAATCGAATCGCGCCGACCAAATAATCGATCCACAATCGATCTGATTGGTTGTTCAATTTCATTGAGAAGGTTTTGATTGGCTAATAATTTTGAGCTCAACTGAAGTAGCCAATCAAATCGATTTACAGTGGTCGAAGGCATCCAGGGTATCGGGATTAGGGTTATTTCAAAATATTATATTTGTGAGTACTCATATAACCTTTCCAGTATAAACGTCAAAATTAATACTACTAAAAGATATAGGTTATTATTTGTAAATGTGATATTTGCCTCATTTCCGTCATGTTTTGTGACATATCTCACAAGATATTCATTTCTACACCTGACATCCAAAGAACGTTTTTTATATGGCGTTTAGTTATGAGCACACAAGAAGTTTCACTGAAAAGGCCATCTGGACCTTGAGATATGCATAAATATACCCTCGATGCCTTCGACCAGTGTTAATTTCCAACAAGAAACCACGCCACAACACAATGAAATTTCACTCGAAAGCACAATACAAAAAATAAATAAAAATAAATTTCACATATCCCCCTCACAACAACTAACTCTTCCGTCGCGTTCCATATAATTTCATCTTACCGTGGGGCGCCACGTGGGAGAGTTTCTCAATTTCGCGTCGCGCGTCGGCGACTTGGGTCTCGAGCTGGGTCTTATCCTGTTGGAGATGCACAACCTCCATCTTGACCTGGTTGAGCTGGGCGTTCGCTTTGGCCAGATCGTGCAAAGTCTCAGTCATTTGGTCTTGCAGGTGATCGACTTGGTGCTTCCATGACGTCCCTTGCGCTTGGGCGTCGCGCAGAGCCACGTCGAGTTCGTTTCGCAGCAACTCCAAGCGCCGCACGCGAACTTGAAGTGCGTCGTTGTCCCTGCGGAGCATCACGCGCTCCTCCGAGTGCACAGACGCGTGCTGCGCCTGGACGTCGATAGACCGCTGCGATTCGTTGGCAAGACTCTGTTGGTGGAGTTGCCGAGCAACGGCTTGACACTCGAGCGTGGCGCTGTCCAAGTTTGTTTGCAACGTTCGAACCACCCGATCGCGGTCGGCCACCACTTGCTCCAGAGATGTACACTCCACACGCAGCGTGTTCTGGCCGTCCAACGCCGTCTGATGGGCGGCCAGGGCGTCGCTTAACTACACACAAGTATATATATATACACAACAATATATTTATATATATATACACAACAATATATTTATATATATATACACAACAATATATTTATATATATATATATATCTATTGTTGTGTTTGGATACAAAGAACGAAGGCTGCTATATGATTGGCTAAGGCCGAGTCTGGATGCCACAGACAGTTTTATGTCAACTAATATTCTGACAGAGAATTCCCTTTTCAAATGGGAGATGACAAAATATGTTGAGGTGACCTCTAGACGCCGTGATAGACTGAGAAGTATTGCTGGAATATCATGCAGGTAAAAGTTGATCAATTGCAGTTGAAACGTTTTTAGGAAACAGTAAACAGTAAAAATTAGACGTATTATGTCCATTTATATATGTCAGAATTTATAGCAGCCATACACAAAAGGAATCGTCGTCGTTTGAAAAAATGTCGAAAATTTTCAGAAAAGCTGCAAAACGAGGTGTGTTTTATGACATTTTTTATGGCAATCAGAGTGGTCCTAACAGTAAAGCATTAAAAAAAGATTCCCAAAATTCCTCGTACATATATATATATCATGTTTCGCAGGTCCAGCGATTGTCGGGCGGTTCATTCAACTACCCGCCAGAGATAATTATGAGTAGACGAAACAACACCCCATATCACAAACCGGATGTAAAAACCACAATAAATAATCGTATTTCATCCAATCAAAGACACGCGTTGTAAAATGCCGCCTTTTTGACCAATGGGATCAATGCATATATACCAAATTAAGATACTTAACACCATAGTACCTTGGATTGCAAGGCCGCGAGCTCTGTTTCTAAAGCCTGGCGTTGCTTTGTCCAGTGTTTTCCGTTGCTCGATTCGTCCGCTAGTTGCTGGCACACGGCTGCATGTTTGGGCTTGAGCTGGTTCAGTTCCGTGGTCAGCACCTTCACATGGGCTTCCAGATTGGCCACCGAATTCGCCGACGACATTTTGTCATAGTGCGTGGCTTTCAGGGCATTCTCGAGGCGCTATATATATATATATATAATCAACTCAAGCATATATATTTGATAAAGCCATTTTGGCGCTATATATAAAATCAATTCATATATATATATATATATATTCGATAAAAAGCCTGTCATAATAGTACGTGGGCTTTAAGGGCATTTTCGAGGCGCTACATATATATATATAACCAATTGAAATAGATATAACCAATTGAAATATATGATAAAAAAGCCATTCTCGCTGTATATAAGAATCAATTGAAATATATATATTGATAATAAAGCCTGTATCACAAGAAATACAATCGGCCATCGAAATGACACTAGAGCTAGCTACACATACCGTGACTTGTAGCGTAGTGTCATCGAGTTGCTGCTGCAGTTTCTGCACAAGTTTCTCCGCCTGATCTGACGCCATCGTGAGCTCGGACTGCTTGGCATCGCACAGTTCGTGCTCTTGCTCAATGCGTTGCAGTCGTTGCTGAAGTAGTTGCAGTTGTTCCATGTACTTGTCATTTAAGCCTTGGGCGTGTCTACAGGATTAGAACTATTTACACGTATAATAATATACATTTCCACCAAAACACTCAACGTTGTGAGCTTAAATATGATGGAACAAACATTTGTCCATCGTTTATGTATATATATATATATATATATATATATATATATCGAAGTTGTCAGAACCGTAGAAGGAATAATATATTTGGAATGTGATATGATTACTATGGATTCGCCCAACTACTGCCACTGAAGAAGGCACGCCTATTTTCACGAGCCAATCGAACCATCATATTGATGAAATTGCTCCGAAAAAATATGGAAAAAAATGAATTTATATATATAATAAAAATTCTATTATGTCGAATATAAAGAGTAAAACCATAGTACATAGTATACTGTATTCGATGGGACAACCACACATATGACAGAACGAGATATACATCTACACAAATCGACTCTGTACAATCATGTAATCAATTCACAGGTTGAATGACTGTAGTATTGCAGGCATCATCGCAACCCATATATATATATATAATATTTATATTGTCTGCTCGATTCGAAAGTGGACGACATACTTGATCGACCAATCAATACGAACACGTAATCAAGTGGCCAATCACATTCTGTCTTCAACCCTTCGACATCAAAATAGTGTGAGACTGAAATTAGTGTAAAGGGCGACTCTGTACAAAAATCAGTACCAAAAACTCGACCGATCGAATTGGCAACTCTGCACAAATCATCCAAATGTTCCCTCAAAGTACAATATCTCGTACCAATCAATGCATTGCAGTCAAAAAAGCTGACACATCCAAATTCCAAGCCAAAAATTATATATATATATATATTGGACACATACTTTAGTTCTTGGGTCAGACTCTCCAGTCGCTGCTGCGACGGCAAGGCGTCGACGAGCTTTTGTTCATATTTCGCCACTTGATCATTAAGCAAATCCACTTGGCGAGTCAGCTGGTCCTTGTCCAAGTCCTGGGCGATTTGATATGCCTCCAAGTCGTATTTTGCCTTGATCTGTTCACACAAATATATAAATATATATATATATCGTTCAGATGAGAAAATATACTGTCGTATATATATATATATATATATATATATATCGTTCAGATGAGAAAATATACTGTCGTATATATATACAGTATATATATCGTTCAGATGAGAAAATATAACGTCGTGTCGACAAATATATATCATATTTACACACGATATATATCATATCCACACGACACACACACTGAGTCAAAATCGAACGATCAGCAGTGGTAAACATGACAAAAAAGGGTGATGGGCGTACCGTGGCGTAGTCCTTGGTCGAGACGCTGTCCTTGAGCTGCTTGCCGAGGCGGTCGATCTCGGCATCGCGGGTTCGGACTTGGGATTCAAGCGAGGCGAGGCGGTCCTGCAGCGCTTTGTTCTCCCGGCCCAATGCGTCCAACTGCTTGGAAGACCTAATTGTGCATGAGTGACATCATGTGTTTGTCGACCAAGGACGATGATGGAAGACGACGTACGCGTCATGGTCGTCGATGGACGAAAGCGGCGCAGCTGAACTTGTCCCGGCGGACTTTCGATCGATCGCTGGTGGCAGGAGTTTGTTGAGCTCAATCGCATCCGCGGACGTCGAGTTGCCACCGTTCGTGGGGTGTTGCATCTCGCCCTGGAGTCGATGCACCTGCGCATACAGCTTGCTCAAGTCGGCGTCTTTCTTCTGCAGCTGACTCGTCTTTTGCGTGTTCAAGAACTGCAGCTCCTCGATCTTGTGCTGCAGTTCCTTCTCCTGGAGATGCATGCCCCGCGCCTTGTCCTCGAGCTCTTCTTGGATTCGAATCATCTCCAGGTGCAACGCATTGTTCTCCCTTGTCAGCGCATGGTTGTCCCTCTGAAGGACCACGAAGCTCTAACACATGTGCTCCATCAGCTCCCTTGAGATGGAGGTGGATGGACGACGACTCTCACCGCTTGGGACATTGGATTGGCACACGAATGATGATGGCACGAAACGTTAATTCCCCCAAAAGTATTATAATACCTTGGGCATTGTATACTTTGACCACAATTATGAATAGCTGTCGAATTTGAATTTCAAACGCGGCAGATAGACGAAATCAATCATCTATTGGTTGATAGTCCAGACCAAATCCATTTGATTGGCTGAAATCAACACATAAGATATTATTGTGTTTCTGATTGACATATCCGGATGCGATGTCATATCCGGATACCCGTCGGAAAATCTAGTGATGTTTTCGTTTCGAACAGCAATGAAGACTCACGATTGAGTTGTCGTGAGGCAGTTAACCTTCTATCCAGCCAATGGTCACGCAATTCCTCTTGGGGGCGTGGCCCTACTACATGCCTGGCACGGCTGTCTTGATCGTGGCCATCTTGTTTGGCTCCCGTACGATCACGTTCCGCGCGCCGTCGCTTCGACAGGTGTTGTTCGAAGCGCTCGGCCGCGTGAAAGGCATTCCGATCGTGTGGATCGAGTGTCCAGCAGCCGCGGCGCGGGTGTTGAAGGCATCGTCCATCAAGGGAGAGTTCCTCGAGCGCACGTTCTCGGCCCCGGCCTTTCTCCCGCTGTTGTCGTTAGAGTCTGCCGACGACCCGCAATGGAGCGTCCTGAAAGCCCACTTGACCACGTTCATGCACTCGTTGCCGCCGGTGTCGAATCTGCAGTCGATCGCCCACCGCGTTACTCTAGAATCCATGTCGGCGCTGAACCGATTGGACGCCGACGCCATCAGTTCCATCTCGGTGGCGACGTTCTTCGAGTGGATCTTTGGGCGTGCAATGCCAATAGACGTGCGGCAGTTGATGTGCTCCGCGACCTGGGAATGGCGCAAGGAGATCGCCGTCAAAGGCAAGGGCGACATGGCGCTAAAGCAACGCGCCGTCGATGCGATCGTTCGCGAAATCCTGGCCACGCCGCACGTGTGCCACGTATTTGGCGCACATCAGTGGACCGACCCCGAGTTCTTTTCCGTGCTCATCCAACCGTTTCTGGTCTCGCCGGCTATCAACATCTCGGACATTGCTGTGCAAGTTCGCCAGCAACTCGTGCACACCAACACCCACGACCCTGCCAAGAACCTCGCCGACCTCGTCCATGCCGCCATGGACGCGGCCCATCCGTTCGTCTTGCTCGAGCGCTTCCTTCCATTGGGTCTGCATGATGATTTAGTGCAAATAGCACCTGGCACTCATGTGTTTATCCCAGTGGACATGATCACAACAGACGCTGCGATCCGATTCGGCGCCGGCGCGCGCAAGTGCCCTGGAACGCACCTCGGCATGGCGTGCATGCTTGGCATATTCTCGGCAGAAGTGCTCCAGCATGACAAGTTTCAGCCCCACGTTGGTCATTTGTACTCTGGACGGGACCAAGATGGTCAGGAATCGCTCCAAGAAACTATCTTTCAAGGCGCCCAGATTGCAGCAGCTCTATGGGCTGCGTTCCTAGCTAGAATACGTGGCGCCCTACGAGCCCAGCTAAAGAATACATAGGACCTTTCGGCAGGTTCGACATATGTAGACGGGTTGGTGTTGCCAGTATTATTATTAATATAAACAGCCTCTATGATTTGTCCACTGGATCCGTATATATATATATATATATATATCCTTGATCAAGGCGTGAGTACTGGATGATATACAGGACACCTCCTACTGCAGGTCAAAAATAGCCGAGCCATACACTATACTAATCGTTAATTGGTTGAAATGTCTAGTTTGTGAAAATTGATTGGCTAGGACAAATACATTTGTTAAATAAGTTTGGCCCTACAAAATGTATATCTTCTAATAATGTGTAAGTGTACCGATTGACATAACCTTTATAATATGACTCAAATCGATTCTCAAATCACATGCCAAGTTAGCGAAAAGGACTATATATATATATATATATACTACAAGTACAGCGGAACACAGAATAGTTATTGTGATGCAATGCAGCGCAACATATCGTCGTGTCTTGCATGTCGTGTGTATCTTAACTGTCGACGCTGAGATTTTGTTGTTTTTTCGAGGTGGAGAATGCGATTCTAGTACTATAGTTGCTCCGTACATGCCCTCATCCGTTGTGGCTTTCGTGCAATTGCTCGCTCATACACGGCACAATAATGGCTTCGAAGCTTGTAGAACCCGCACACGCCGCAAAGGCTGTGGATGAGTTCATGCCCGTGGACGACGAGGTAGGCAACGACATGGTCGTGGCCATTGGATGTAGCGCCTTGCATGGCAACGTCAGTGCAGCCGTCTGTACGATGCGCGTGAAGGAATTGGACGATCTCCAAATGACCATGCGTTGCGGCCAAGTCCATGGCGTAGGTCGTACAACTGACATTTGGCGACGTGTCCAAAACGTACTGCAGAATTGCCAGATGGCCACCCTGGGCCGCCTTTTCCATAACGTCGCTGGCCCGCCACAGGTCGTTTCGATGCACGTGAATCCAGCGCACGATGTCCAAATGGCCACGGATCGTGGCCATTTGGAGGCCAGAGATCGTGCAACCTTGGGTTGGACTCGTATGGAGAAACTGTACGACCTCCACATGGCCATTCGCGGCCGCTGCGTCCACGACGTCGGTGGACCAGTCGTCGTCGCCCCGATGCGTGTGCAAGAACTTCACAATCTCCAAATGCCCTCCGGCAGCAGCGTTGACCATGGCGTCGGCTCCAAGCAGGTTGGGACAATACGCGTGCAAATACTTCACAGTTTGTAAATGTCCATTGGCTGCCGCCGCTACGAGGGCCGCCGACTCGTGGATTGCCACTCGATCATGATATGAGGCTTGCAACTGCCGAATCGAATCCACTTGGCCACTGGTCGCGGCAATGATCATTAAACTCTGGTAGTCAATGTTCAAAGACAAGCGCAACAGGTGGAAGCTGCTCGGGGTCGAGATTGCAAACACCTGAACGATGCGACTTGCGGCAGGCACCGCCTTGAACAGTCGCGGGAGGGCCGCTTCTCCGTGTATTGCTAACCATGGCGAGACTAGGCGTTGCATCGCTGAAATGTCGTTGGCTGTGACTGGATGGGGGACGGCGCCATACGTGGCCCACGGAACGAACGCTTCCACAACACCGTCTTGAAACGGCGCTATGAAACCAAACAAGTCGCGACAAACGAGCACGCCGTGGGCGGCGGTGTATGGCGATTGCATCATGTTGAAGAGAGGTGGTATATTGAAGTGTACTACGTGCTATGCAACGCTACACCGGCGGTGGTTTCGTCGGTTTTGGATTGTTTATTCTTGTCTTCGTCCACAAACGAACGATAGGATGTAATTGGCACAAACACACGACCGATGGAGGAGTAGGCGTATGTAGGTGTTTTTCACGGTATTGTTTTTACTATTCTTTGCAAATACATGGAGGGCCGCTGCTGTGGGCACTTACTAGTAGTACATACTACGTAATAGTAGTACCTCCGAAGGCATCATCGACCGGTCTGGACGCTTTTGACAAGAGGGTAGTAGTTTCTGAATCCATTCTCATATTCAATTGCATTGCAGAAACGAAGTGTCGAGACATGACGATCTATCTTCCCAAGCAGACTACCGGCTTACGGTAGCCATTCAAACCAAGCTAACTACAGTTGTCTTCAAGTGTACCTCGAAGTATACTACGAAGTATTATACTTCGTAGTACTGTCCCTGGTATAATATTTTGAATAGAATAATATCTTAAAAACGTGACTGTAGGCATTACAGTAGTTTGAATTGCGAAGCCGGTAGCGCTCTGCGTGGAACCAACAACAATACTAGGTGGGTTTATATTCATGTGCCCAAAATCGTTGGATATGCGTCGTCCGACGGGATTGACATACAATGTAGTTGAAAGGCTGTCCAACTCGTGCCAAGATGTCACGCTGTGGTATTCAATATCCGTAATGATAACTTCACACCATAAATAACTTTACAAATAAATACAACTACATTTCGTCCTCAACGTTGGGAACTTTTTACGATACACGCGTGCCGCCGGGGCTTGTTGAACCCGCACGCACAGCACACGCCATGCACGAGGTCGTCGCCATGTTGCTCAAAGTACGCGGCCACGTCGGCGTGGCCGTTCCGGACGGCACCCGCGACCGCCTTCTCGGTGCACCCGTCCTTGCGGTGGGTGTGTAGAAACGTCACCACATTCAAATGTCCATTTGTTGCCGCGAGGTCCATACCCAGCATGAGGCAGCCGGCGCGGGGACGACGACGAAGGAGGAAAGCCAACACGTCGACGTGTCCACCGGCGGCGGCGTGTGTCAGGGCCTCCGGGTGCCACCCCTCCTTTCGATGCCTGCACAGCCACACGATCACATCCAAGTGGCCGTGGGCGGCTGCCAATGAAATCGCACTCTTCGTGCATCCTTCGGACCGATGGGCGTGTAGAAATTTCACCACACTGAGATGTCCATTTCCCGCCGCGCCGTCCATCGCTGCCGTTGTGCACCCTTCACGTCGATGGTGATGTAAGAATGTAACGATGTCTAAATGGCCTTGGCTAGCCGCCACGTCCAATACGTGTGTGGTGTAGTCGTCTCGGGGGCGGAGCTGGTGTAAATATTGCACAACGTTCAAATGTCCGTTGGTGGCTGCCCCCACCATGGCCTCGTGGCTAACTGCAGTATCACCTCGACCACTCAACAAGAACGCGATTACATTCACTTGCCCCGCCTGCGCGGCCACATTCACCAAGTGGCTGGTCGAGTTTTCGTGGCTACGACACTTGCTCCGCAACGACATCGTGGCCTGCAACAGTGCGATGTGGCCAGCCGTTGCGGCGAAGACTGCAACCAGCGACTGCATGAGGGGAACGGTGGCGAGTAAGAGAGGGACCCTTTCCACTGTATGGAGCTCGAGCCATTTTGCAAACGTGACGTGGAACGACGGGAGGTGATCGTCGTCGTCGTGGCACTTTCGCGTAGCGTGGAGCAACGGGACCATGTCGTGGTAGACTCCAACTTGGAACGAAGTGATGCGGAGCAGGACATCTGTCGACAAAAGCACAGATGTGGCCTCCATCGAAGCAGTTGTAAAGTGAGGCAAGAAGGTGTCGTATGTATGGGGGGTTTCATTTCGAAGTAAAGTATCTATCTCGTGTAAATCAAAGTGCGAAACCGCCGACAGGCAACTCTGCCATAATCCAAGAAATATTTTATATTGACAATCAGTCATCACCTACTGTAGGCGCGCATTTGATTCTTAGTGTCAATCGGTGGTATCAGAATGGGACCGAGCCAACGGCGATCATGGTGCTCACATGCCGCATGGAGCCTTGAGATGATACAGTAAGCCCAACACTGTAACTTCGCGGCCAAGTTGGGGTTTGGCAAGATCTGAATAACGTGTCTAACAGTCGTTTATAACGGCTACACGAGGGAATTCTTTATACGAACCAATGTGTAGAATTTTTCCTGTAACAATTTGTCGGTGTCCTTCTATTTGACACTATTCGAGCTCCATGGCTGGACTTGCATCCTAAAAAGTGCAAAGACATACGATGAGTGATCAGTTTTAGTCGAAAGGCATGGCGTTGTTCACAAATTTGATCCACGTGGTTAATATGTTTCATGGGTCCAACAGCATGACTGAGTCTGACGAAAGGACCAATCAAGTCTAATGGAATTCCGCAAGAGTCTAAAATAAGCCAATCATCGTGCCCGTTTATATTTTCGTAGTGCCGGATTGGTCGGTTTTGAAACGACCATATCAACACGATTCTGTCGTGAGGCGTTTTCTCGTGCTGGTCCTTCCATATCCCAGGCACATTCGAGTGGAGGGATTCGAAGAACTGTATCGCTTGTCGCAAATTAAACAATGTCTTGGGCAATAATAGTGAATCACGGTGCTCTTCCCTTGACGTTGTTAGCGAGTTCGTCGCAGTACTTCGCGACCTGATGATTGGGATGATTTACAGTAGTAGAAAATACGTCGCAGGGACAAACAGTTACGAAAGCCGGCCAGCCTGGTTGGTTTCATAATTGTCGGGATGCCACACCATTTGGATCGCATCGCGAAGAATCGTCAAGTGGAAATCTGAGACCCATGGTTGTGTCAAAGGTTCACCTTCTCAAGTCGAAAGGTTCGTTATTGTACAGTAGGTACTTACTTATACTAACTACAACTGGTACTAGTATTATTTGATTACCAAGTTCAAATCCCACTTGGCAGTGAAGTGGGACTTTTATAGTTTGTTACTCTGGACTATAAGGAGTAACTACAGCACTATCACTGAAACAACGGCACAATGGTAACCGTGGTGGCGAGAAATCTGGAGATTTCAACCACAACAAAATAGACTAACGTTAGTGGTCAAAACTATGAATAAGTGCTCGTGTTCAAGAATCTCGATCGTTGTCGAGGGGTCGACTATGTATACACACACATACATACATACATACATACAGTGTCACGAATCGAGAGATGCCTTACCTGGGTAGTAGCAGTAGTACTGTATTCAATTGTTTGGCCTCCTCAATGATTTGTCTAGTTTACTCATTTGTGGTGGAGCCTATTCAAAAATCTAGTGCCATATATCTACACTGAGCTGCGGAATGGACGAGAGAAGGTGGAAGGCGCCTTCGGTTTCGAGTTGATTTCGCTGGTCGGACGATCCGTCAATGACAAACATACGTCACAGTTTCAAGTCCACGATGTAAAATGTATGGCGCACTTGCATGGACAGAATTCCGTTGAGGACTGCAGACGCACGGTTCATATAATACACCTAGGACAACACGACCGAACCGAGTCGGGTGTGTGCACTTAACCACGAATCGCGTCGGCAGTTGCCCCAAGCTCGGATTGACCGATTAAATTGACGCCCAACACACTCAGCAGTCGCGGCAACGTGCCCGACACAATTGTTTAGGTCAATATGCTGTTGCATGCCCATGTCCCGGAAAACACGGCGAGGTCATCCGCCAACGGAGTTTTTGTGTTGGTGTTGTCGCACAAGAGGTTGCCGCCCACGGCCAATGTTTGGTCATGACGATGCGCGCTGTCGCTGGTTGTCCACGCGGCGAGTACGCACGGAAACTGAAGGTCCACCTTGAACGACTTGTACTTTAGCTACAGTAAACTCGTGCGACGGGACTATCCGCGTGGCTACTATATATCTTTGACCGAGAGGAGAAGCTCTACTGGGGAACGAGGTGCCGTGACCACCTTGACGTCCACGAAACCAATCGGGCCGATCGTTTGTCGAAATATTCGGAACGCGCAATCTCCGCCACGAAAAAGGCGTCCATGAGATCCGAGGGTGGCAACGTTTGATTTTGAACCAACATTTTATCCATTGTTAGGTTGGACGCATACCAAACCGTATGGCGAATCAAGCTCGCGTCATGAGGTTCGATGACACTTCCAGGGCATCGAACGTGTCGACCAACCGAATAGACTTGTAGTTTTGCCAGTCGGGGGTGAACACCGTCACATTCCACCCGCGCCAGTGCATCACTTCGTCACGTTCTGACGTCGCCTGTCGCGAGCGTTGAACGGCCAGCCACCACAGTCGGCTTCGTTCCGACTCGTTTGCAACGGGAGTGCGGATGCTAATACAGTATCCAACAACACTCTACCAGACGGGGCCACTGCACGTTACGCAAAACGCTCTCCAAGTACACGGCGCCGTTTGCAGCGTAGTTTTGGTGGCACCAAGCTTGTAGTTTGGCAGAGTTGGCCATGTCCCACGTCTTGCCAAAGTCCAGCCAACAGTACTGCGTGGAAATCCAAGGTGCGAGGCAAGCGTCCATACTGCGCAGCCCCCGCACGACAGTCGCAACGTCCGTAGCGTCCGTTGAGGCCATGACTTGCGACGTGTAGAGCGGCGGGGTTAGTATCACAGGGGCTGTCGGTGGCGTATTGTTGTAGTTGGCATCGTCGGAAAAGATCGAGTCGTCCAATGCCAACACGCTGCAGCGTAGGGCCGATGGAGCGTCTGAGCAGTGAACCACCTCGACAAAAATACATGCTCGCGCGTCGCGTTGAAGCCTGGTCACTAGAAATCGTTGGCCATGTTGGTGGATGCAAGGAACAAGTAGGTCACGCTGCCAACGATGGTCGCAAACACATACAAAACGCACCGACAAGTACATTCCATCGAGGATCGTGATGTTGCTGTGAAGGGGGATCTCGAACGATGCCCACATCGGGGGGGGGCAGTTGGTACGGCCCGTACGATGGGGAAAGTTGGAGAATCGTGGTGTTTGTGTTGCACATCGGTTGATTTCAAAAATGGGTATATATCTCCGTCCTGCTTCATCATTACTCTGTAGTATCGAATTCTAAACAGTCCTAAAGGTAACGGGTTAGATAAATTCCTGGTGAACAACCCATAGTTCAGTTCTTTTGCCCTTGGACAAGGCTTGGTATGGTTGGAAACCGATATAGACGTGGAACCTTGGAACCTCTATAATTTTGAGTACAATTTTCAGTCGTATATTTTAACCTTCCTTTTTGTATGTAATTGTGAATAGAAATTCAGGGGTTCACTGTATGATTGGTGCATATTCAAATAACGATCTATAATTGGTGCATTCCCGTACGACCTAAATTGGCACATACGCCATAAATTGGCACTTTACGTTAACATAAGCTCGCTTTGGTGCTTATGGCCTCGCGACGCAGCGCATGAGTTGAATCATGTATGCTCTACTAATCCTCAAACGTCATCAAGTCAGTTGCACTCATCGAATCCCAGGAGATGAGTCAATGATACACCATGTACATGTCCCGAGTCAGTCATTTGTAGCGACTGTGTCGGTAACACCTCATTCATTTGATCACATCTTCCATTACTTTAAGCACGAGTATGTTGTGCTCTCACGAACTGGTAAGAGTGGTCACCCTCCTGGCATACCAAAGAAGCACGCGGTACTAGCGATGCTACTGCACTTTTACTCAGCCAAGAGGCATTATCTCTTGGACGTGGTCGAGCAAGAGATCAATCGAAGCCGCACACCAACTCTTACCGCTTGCTTTCGGCATGGGCATTTTGAAAGTGGAAACCCGACGTCCACGAACGTTTGGTGGGAACGTGAAGTCCAAATCGTTGGTTTACCTCTTAATATTTGTATCAACTATCAAAGTAATTTTGTGTGAAAGTTGTATGTCATAAATTGGCAGTACTTTGTAAATAGTAAGTACAGTAATACACAACTTGGATATGTGGATTAAAAATTTAAAACTAAAAAAAGATGCTAATTGACCCATGGTTGTCGCGGAATTAACACTTTTGGCAGCCCTTCATTTCAGATACGAGGACAAGTTTTAGAGACGTATTTGGACGCTTCGAAGGTTCTGGTGAGGCACCTCCCTTAGGTGTATCAACGCTTGAACATCTACGTTAACATTAATCACATCTAGCACACCGAGTGCGCCCTGGTCAGTGTCACCACGCGTCCGTTTAGGGCTTGGATATCACGAGTATTAGGATGGTGAATGACGTTGGACCACTGCTTCAACTGCGCCTTGGAGAGCTTATGCACCTTTTGCAGCACATTCCACTCGACACCTTCAGTGAACGGCTCCGTCGTGAGCGAGCCAGAGTATTGAAAGACGTTGCTGTTGCTCACACGCAGACTCGACGGGTCGAGCGCCGCCAGCGTAAAGTTGTCGCCAGGCTTGGTCAACTGGTCAAACTGGCTGAAAACTTGAGTCAAGAACGGGTTGGGCTTGTCGTGGGGGTCCAAGTCAAAGAAGATACCGACCACAGCCAGGTTCTTGTCCTTGTCAGCGTGCACAAAGTGCACTTCGAACGGGTACTGCTTGCCCCCGAGGGTGTGTTCGCTGGGGGCGTGGGGGTGGAGTTGCAGCGACTGGTATATCTTGCCGTTCAGGGTCAAGTACGAGTCGCGCCCCCCCGACCACGTGGCCTTGACGGTATGGTCCTCTTGCGACACCACAGCCGAAGCTGTGTTGAACGCGATGGAGAAGTTGCCGGAGTTGGCGACGGGCTTGGCCGAGGCAGGCAAGTCGATGGGGGACTGACTCATGAGTGTTTGGCCTGTCACGATGGCAATAGCGGCAGCGATGGCGTACAAGAAGAACTTCATGAGGGCAGTTGGGGGGGAAATGAAATGTGGAACGGATTGGGTTGAACACCGAGGGGTTGTGCTGTCTGAGACATTTCGTGGAATGTGGACTGTTGCATGACGTTCAGTACATTGGTTATTTGGTCATACTTATAATAATATCCAGATGAATTGACTACTACTAGTGTTTTCGTGTTGGACAGATAATTAATTATACACGTGGACAGCAATACAGTGGTGGCCGGTAAAAGCCGACGAAAGTTGCACTGCTGTACTGTACATAACAGTAAATAAATTTGAAAAGTACCGAACACATTTGATTGGACATAAATTGTGATATTCTTATCTGGTGAATCCAGAAGATTATTGACGAATCTGGTTCCAGTGTGGATCCAGCGAGTACAATTCCCTCTTTAAAACAGTCCCACTGTTGTTTTGACCAGAAAATACTGTTTCAATGAGATTTATATGGAACTTTGTATGCTCAGACCACCTCTCCTCTTACCTCGGAGATCTAGCATCGTATGTACTCACCGGGGGTAGGACGGAGTCCCCGGTTACAGGGCCGGATGTAATAATTCCCTCATTTACAGTTAAACAGTACAGTATTTCGGGTCAAAACAACAGTGGAACTTTTTCATGAGGGAATTAATTATTTATCAGCGAAGTATCAAATGTCACCTTCAATATACCTGATGTCGAAGAAGTATAGAAGCGCAAAATGGCCAAGAGTTGGTTAGCCAATGCCTACTCGAAGGTGAACATAGTAAGTACGTGGAGCAAATCAACAATCATGTGTATCATTCAGGTATAATTCCTATGTTTGTCGACAAAAGTGGATTAAAACTACAAGTTTGTCGGTAAGTATACAGGATTGTTTTCGTGCCAAGAATTGAAGAACTTCATTAGTTCCCTCGCAGAGGAATGTCTTAAAAATGATAATCCAAACTTAATCATTAGTACTACAGTTGTACGTAGTACTACTGTAGTTGTAATTTAGGGTGTAAACTAACAGTAAGTAACATCATACGCACCGAATTGATTGGAGGATTTCTGCGCTTCACAGCCAGTGCTTGTATGACATTTGCATTGAATCATCGTCTCCATTTTTGCACCCTGGTATAAACGAATAACCCAACCCATGAAATATAATAATATATTCACTTTGAAGGGAATTTGGAGAATTGATGAAGAAGCTCGGTTGACTGTGGTGCACTCCACCACTTGCCTTGTCAATAGTATAGACTAGCGATTGACAGCTTGAATGATTATATGATAAGTTGATATCCCACTTGCGAGTACAAAGCATTGATTGTGGGCAAGAACGCCTTCTTGCGTCGTGGTGCTTGAGGTTATACGTGGGGGTGAGCAAGTCGTTGTCGACGGCTTCGGTTGCAAACCAATGTCCTTGACAGATGTGGAGTCCCGCGTCTTTGAACTCGCGCGCAATGTCCTTGTGCACCGCTGCCACCGCCTACACGTCCACTTCCGGCACGACCAGCACCGCAAACTGTCGCCATACATGGATGGCATTGGTTGCGGCTCAGTGATATTATAACTTTACATGTAATTACTGATATATGTTTAACATAATGTCCTGAGTAATGCTATCTATATGTGATATTTTCAAAAGTATTTCCTTGTATAGTCAGGTTATTCTATGAACGTGGCTTGCTCGGAACCTCCAATATTTAATACCCCTTGTTGGCAAGTACATCTATACATTTATATTGTTGAATGAGTGCAAAAATCGAGGATCCACTGTACTGTCCAGTTGAGGCGTACATAATTGATCCAAGATTGGCCAATCATGGAACATTAGTATGTTCCGTGACAGTTGGCTATCATATGACTTTTTTTATTTTATGTGATATCATCAAAGTGCAACTGTGATACAAATTCGTAGATAAACAGCAGTGCAACTTTCGTTGGACGGTATAAGTTCGTTCAGGATGGGTGAAGGCCCTTATACAGGGAAAGACGGACGCAACGCCTACTTTCGTCTTCGAGTACTTTATGAATTCTGTCATTACATTGCTCACACTAACTTACATGAAATACGAAAACTATTCTAGCCAATAACACAGCGTTCACAAAATAATATTCGCATCAAGCACTAACTAGGCAATAAAATAGAGGTAATATAATTCTGGGTCTAAACAACTTGAAAAAATGAACAATCCAAAAATTTTGCAATGAATACGAGAGGTCACGATTGTTCCAAGGATGAGCTCCTTATATATGTGATATAGTGTATGAAACTGCAATAAGCGTAAGCAGATGACGCGAGGACGTCGTGGTTAAACACGAAGATGCAAGTGGAGGGGGCGAGGGTCCTAGTCCCGGACGCATTAAAAAAAATCTAGAGCGACGTCGTGAGCACATCTGGAAACCTACAGGGAACGTCAGAATGTAAGGCCTACCAAAAAAACAAACGTTGCACTCCTCAATTGTCCAATAGAATTGGATTGTGAAAATAACGGTACATGATTGGTGGATGTTTCTAAATACAAATCAATTTTATTGCTTCGCTAAACTTATATCTCATAATATACAGTCCGAAAAGAAATTATAGACGTAAATTTTTCCAGTTTGAAAGGAGTACCGTACTATTTTGTGGATCACTATCTCTCAGTTCACTTGAAACTGTTACAAAACTTGGCAGTCTCACATGTCAATCATTCTCAAGAAATCTACAATTTTCAAAAAATTGACTGAAAAGAAATTATAGACGCACTTTTTGATTAGTCAATTTTTTGAAAATTGTAGATTTCTTGAGAATGATTGAGACTGTGCCCAAATCCTTTTGCGGGCAAAGTTTTGTAACAGTTTCAAGTGAACTGAGCAATAGTGATCCACAAAATAGTACGGTACTCCTTTCAAACTGGAAAAATTTAGGGTGCGTCTATAATTTCTTTTCGGACTGTAAGATCACGACCGTATATTATTATGTCTTGCACAGCGAATGTTTCAATTCCACTAGGTGCCCGCTATGACGAAGACCACGACTTCCGACACGATAACTATGTCTTCCTCGTGTCAAGTGTCGTGGTCTTCCCACCGTGGTGGTCTCGTTCTTAGGGTGTTCTACAGTCGTACGCGCTCATAATTGTCAAGAGTTATTACAGTCATGACGTTACGAGCTATTCGAATTACCATTTTAACGAGTATGTGAAGGAGTAATGC